CTCATTCAATCATCTAAGGACCATAAGAGAAAAACAAGCCTGAGTTTCCTAGAAAATCAGAAACCAGTCTGTCTCAGCGCTGCAGCTGTAGCTCCTCTGTGAGTCTCCATGGACTCTGACCACCCAACGACATCAGCCTTGCCAGTCCCCAAGCACATGAGCTAATTCCTTAAAGAATACACTTGTATATTTGTTACAAATATGTGTGGTATCATAAGCATAAGTAGACATGTAGATTTGTAATGAATATATTACATGTATTTATAATAAATATTATATATAAATATTTTCTATTATATACAAATATTTCCATCCATATGCAATTGTTTCTCTGGAGAACCTTAAACTAAAAACTGCACTTCCTGGAAAAAAATTCTCCTCAGGTCTGGATATAGTTCCTCTTGCTTTTCCCGTAAGATCAGCAAGCCAGTGGAGGTACATGCCTATAATCCTAGCCCTTGGGAGGCTGAGGCAGGAGGATCACCATGAGTCTGAGGGCAGCCTGGGCTACATAGTGAGTTCAAGGCTGGTCTGAACTACATGGCGAAACCCTGTCTCAAAAAAATTAAATTTAAAAATTTAAGAAGATGAACAAACAAGTTATTTTCCCCCACAAACCTTCTGTATTGCAGAGAACAAAATAATCACAATAAAATCTCCTACTCAGAAAGGAGGAGTGGGATACAGAAGTTACTGTTCCTAGGAACTGAGGACCCCCTTACCCTAACTAAGGGTGAAGAATATGGCCTATAGGATCCCAGCTTCTCTCAGGAGTAACTCTGACATCTTCTGCTCTCCATTTTTCCTTTTCTGTTATTCTCTTTGGCCACATCTTAAGGAGACCACAAGAGTCAGTTTAAAACCCACATAGACATATTTCTAATCCAGGCTTTGTAGAAGCCTGGAGGCCTGCTGTGGACCTTGAGGTCTTAGCTTCACCAGCAGGGGGCAGCAGAGGAAGCGGAGGCCTGGGGGGCAGCGTGCGTCCTTCACCTGGGGGTGCAGGAGGATGCTGGATGTCTCCAAGTCTGTGTTGCTGGACTTCAGGGCATTTGAACTTACTGCACAGCATCTAATACTGGTGTTTCCTATGTTTCAGTGCAGCTCAGCTTCTGGAACTGACCTGGGGACGTTGTAGGCAGAACACTTGCTACTGAGAGAATAAGAAGGCTGGGGACACGCTGTCCAGGAAGGGATCTCAGAGTGAGCAGAGCAAGAAATGAAGATGTCCGTCCCCAAAGATGACAGACATCTCTAACCAAGAGTGGCAAACACACAGGGAGTGGTAATGAGGTTTTCGACAATGAATCGCTCAGCTGGGGAGTGGAAAGGTATGGCAATGTGGAAAATTTGACTGGAAATGTCTGAAAACTACAATCTGGGGTCAAGGCCCCCTCTTGTACTTACCAAGTTTTCTAACTGGGGAGTTGGCAAAACTGATGTGTTAGGGCCGGTCAGCAGGCTGTAGAGACCACAGAAGAGTTCAAGCTGTGATTTTGAAGCAGAATTTCTCATTTTCTAGGAAATCTCAAGTCTTTGCCTCTTAAAGCCTTCAGCTGGTTGAACGAGGCCCCAGGCCACCTTCGCAAGGGGATGTAGGTAACGTCTACACCCAGTAACAGTGTCTGAACAATGCCTGTGTACGGTGAGTGTGTGATTCAGTAACAGAGCACAGCAGCTGTGCCACCTCGTATCTCAGTTAGACGGGGCCTCCGCGGGGCTGCAGGCTGTCACTCTCAGGAGAGTTTTTGTGTGTTTTTATGCAGTAAAAATATTCAGCAAGCACTGAGTAAAGATAGTTATTTATTGAAGAAATGAATGAGTCAAAATAAAGACGATGTGGGTGTGGTGCCTCATGCCTGTCAGCCCAGCACTCAGGAGGATCCCTGGAGTTTGAGGCCAGCCTGGGCTACACAGTTCCAGATCAGCCTGAACTACATAGTAGACTCTGTCTCAAAAACTAATAATAAAATAATAAAATAAACTAATACACAGGATTCCTGTGACTTCTTTAACTTTTTGTATAAAAATCACGATTTTGGCAAATGTAACACTTAATACCTGTGGAATGTGGTAACTTTCTGTGATGTGCATGTTGTAATGAAGATTTTTCTATGAGTAAAAAGTTTTTAGAAACAAAGGAATAAACAGGTGAAATAAAGCTACAATAAAATTGCCTTTTCCTCCTCCTCTTTTTAGATTGGTGAAACGTGAAGACATTTGATATCATCTGCTGCTGAGAAGGAATGGTAACAGGGCCCTTGGAGGGAAGACTAAATACCAAATTTTGATTGGGAAAACTTTTGCTGAGGAGAAGCAAGGCTTTCTAGATCATCAACTTTTGATCTGGATCCACGGACTTCCCAGGGGTTTAAAGTCAGATAATCTATGAACTTAAAAACAATTGGTTCTTCACTTCCATTAACTTCTAACCATAAATTAGCATTTTCTTCAATTATGAATGCATGCATCAAATTACTATAAATTTGCATTATTTCTAACTGTCATGAAAGATGATGAGATAATTTCACATCTGATTACAGTTGCTGAAGATAACTGAAATATCATTTACTCTTATTGAAACTAATGATACAATTTATAACTACGTGATGAATTATTATACTCATTATTAGCCTTTGCAACTCGACTTTATACAAAGAATTAGTTCCCGGTTTTTCATTTAGATAACTGTATTTCTGTATAATTTTGCTTTCTCTATAATCTGTGTATTTTATTTATTCAGTATTTTAAGACTCATGATCCCAGGAAAAGGTCTAGAGCTTCACTGGATTTCTGAGAAGTTTAAAAACTGTCATATGACGAAGGTGTTCAGTGGATTTTAATTATATAAAGAAAGTCTCAGGAAGGAAAAGACTTAGCAATGGCAGGAAGTGAAGGAAAAGGGCTTGAATGCAGTCTCTGCCTGGATTTTTCATTTTTAAGGTAATTTGGAAGTTACAGCTTCCATTTTGAATGTAATTAGCACCCTACCAGTCCAGCTTGACCTGACAGCAGCCATTTTGGACCATAACCACCATGACTGCCCCTCAGGAGCTCTGGTCAGTTTTCTTCACACTGTTTCCAGCAAGCTAGGCATAACCAAGACCATTAGCACGCTTTCAGGCCACGTGCTGGCACCGGAAATGTGACTGACCCCGTGGTATTAACTTGAGTTAAACCAGGTCTGTTTCAGCTTGGATGAAGCGTGTTTCATCCTGACTAATACATCCATCCCACCTTCTGATCCAGGTCATGGATCCACTTGGTTCTGCTGGGGCCAAGAGCCATGCTTCTGCCACTATGCCCCATCAACCCACTCTGTATAACCCTGGATCTCTCTGTCTCCTTTCTCACGGCACCTTGCAGCTCTCGGACACTGGGACCAGCTGTTCTAGAGCATTCTCTGCTCATTTTTCGAACAATATTCTTAAGGCGGTATGCCTTTCAGTATCAAGGTAGCAAGTTAGAGAGCTTTTACTGAAGCTCCTATGCCCAGAAGTGTGTTTTACTAATTTCCCAGCACTCCTCAATCCAAACAAGTCCACAATCACACTAATCTTCCTACTATAATTCACCAGCTCTTCTTGGCTTCTTTGATTCATTTCTCATTTAACTGGAGCACGCCATCACTTGGCTTCTCAGGGTTCATTTCCTCCACTTATACGTGCTTGCAAACACAGCACACGAGCAGCAGCTTGACTCTGTATAGTATTTTTGTATCACATCCTTTCCCCTCAAAACTTTGCCTATTGCTTCCTTCATTTTTAATACACTTTTGGAAGCAATGTCTGAGGAAGCCTGATTTATTTTTTTTCCCTTCTGCAGCAAACAATCAGCCCAAATGATTTGGGGATGGTTTAATCTCTGCAACGCTTAAGTTTTTGACATGAAATAAGTAGATGTCAGATGCACTTATTATTATTACTTATTAGTTGATATATAGAGAGCTACACTTATTAATTATTATATACGATTTCTCTGTGACCGCCACGGGAAACCTTTTTCTGAGGGTTTGTCTACAAACTCCCCTCAGACCTGTAGTCTCCTACATAACTTTCTTTCACTGTCCTTTTGTGTTTTTTTTACCAATTCTGGATGATTTTCACCTCAATGACTTTATACTTTCTTTTGCCTATACTGAGAATTGATCTCACTGAGCTACATCCTCAGATCCCATTTTTTATGTTTTATTTTGAGACAAGATCTTGCTCAGTCACTAAGTTGCCCAGGCAGGACTCAAATGTGTGGTCCTCCGGCCTTAGCCTGCCAGAGTGCTGGGAGTACAGGTGTGCACCATGCACCTTCTTAAGTCCGGGTGGAAAAGGATTAACTCTCAGAAGGACTGGGCTGCTCAAACCCTACACACTCCGAGGAGAAGACAAGTCCTTGACTAGCAGCTCTTGGTGAATAAATTCCAAGCCCTGGGCCTATCCCACCTCATTATAAAAATATCTTCATGCACCTGACAGAGCTTCAGAGCGTTCCTTACACAGAACTTCCACATTTTGTGCAGCTGTTTCTCCAACTTGAAATGCGGACGTTGGAGTTAGACCTCCTGGGCCAGAATCTCAAACCCGTCACTATTTGATCCTAAAGGAGTCGCTTTCTCTTCTGGGCTTTGGGTTATTTGTCCATTCAATGGGAATCGTCATTGCTCTTACACCGATATAGTTCTTATAAAGAGAATCTGTATCTGTAAAATGATTAAACAACATTTCCCATATAAGTACACAAATATTTTTGGTTAATTATATCATGAATACGCATTCTTTTTATTTTTATTAGTATATATTTGCAGGTGTAACATTTACATCCCTTGTGTGGATTTGGTGCATGTACATAACACATCTCAGCTCCTGTTTTTCATCCTTTCTCTCTCTGCCCCACACCTCCCTCTATCTCTCAATCCCTTTTCCCTTTGAGAAAGAACTATCTTCTTACTTCCTATGATCTTTTAGTTTGCTCTTTATTTATAAGCATTCTTTTTATTTTCCTGGTTTCACTTTTTCTACAATCTTACCATCAAGTTTTTTTTAAACTTTGCTCTCATGAAAAATTCTTTCCTTCTACTCTTGAATGTGCATAACTTCAAGTTTAAATATCATCTGTTTGGTTTGTTCTCTATTTTGCGGTAGCTCCTAGTTTTACACTCTACCTGGCCTAACTAACCACCTGTGTTCTGACTGATTCTGTTTCAGACCTTTCTGCTGAGGGCCTCTGCAACGATTAGCAGAACATGAATGTATGGAAGTGGAAGAGGCCTGAGAGTTCATTTCAGAGCATGATAAAAACACTTGATAGAGACAGAGGCTCCTCTGATACCCTACTGTCTCGGAGTGTCTGCACACAAATCCCCAGCCTGTTTTAAAATGCTCACCAAAGAACAGGCTTCCTGGAAATTTAAGACCCTCCAAGGGTCCTAAACCCACCTCCCTCATGCCCTGACCGTGGCCCTGTTCTCTTAAAGCCAGCAGGGGGCAGGTTTGGTTTGTTCAGAGAAAGCTGCACAGCACTGGCTGACAACTGCTGTCCAGCGCGCTCCACGCCTGACTGTGAGGGGGAATCGCTTGGGAGCACCCGTCACATGCCCAGAGATTGCCTTCCGAGGCTTTCTGGAGTACCGTGTGCCGTGTGCCGCAGGGAGGCTCAGGGCTCCTCCTTTATTCTAGCCTGTTTCCAGCAACCCCCAGGGCAACGTCCTGACTCTTCTGTGTGCGTCTGCAGAGCTCTCCTCCTGCGGCTTCCTGCATCTGCAAGCTTGTTCTGAAGGCCGAGAGGTCTAAGTGCGTCACCGTGTGCATGGTCCTTTAACCCTTCGTGTCCTGCGCCGGGATTGAAGCCTGAGAAGGAAGGCAAATCAAACGGTAGGACAACAAGCCGCTTCAGTGTGGTGGTTATAAACCACAGCTCCCTCTCCGTGCCCGCCATCTGTTAAAAATTGTAAGCAATGACTCTTCGCAGTTCTGGGAACATTTTTGGGAATTTCTGAGCAACTCGAGCAGGTTCCTCTGGTTTCTAATCCATTATCAGGATCTGCTGCTTTAAAGCTGAAGTAATCCAGCGTGCCTGAAAGGAACTTTGCCACAAGAAAAAGGCTTCTGAAGTTGAAGTCGTTTCTCTTGTCTGGCCCACACATCCCCCGTGCTAAGGGTAAAAGCACTCAGACTCAGCTCGTGACAGTGAATTTGGTGAGGATTTCTTTTTATGTACATGTTGTCAGTACATGCAGTTTACAGTCATCTTGGGGAGTGGTACATGTGCATAATACAGCTTTTTAAAAATTTCTCTTCCTTCTCACCTCTCTCCCTCCTCCTCCAAGTCCCCTTTCCCTGTGTTCGTTAGTGTTGATGTTACTAATCTTAGCTTATGTTCATGATGTACAGTGTCCACACTCATTGAGGTTATTAGGTTCCTGTTCATGGCATCTCCGTCCTACTTATTTCCCTTCCCTTCCTGTTCTCCTCTCATCTCTGTTCTCATGGACCCCTTTCCATTCGCAAGAGATCTGTTATTGTGCTCTTTGTATGTTGCCTTCCTCAAATGAAATACAGTATTTAAACTTCTGTATCTGATTTATTTCATTCAACATTATATGTCTCAAGTGTACCCATTTTCCTATAAATGTCTTGAGTTTGTCCTTTATAGCTAAGTAGTATTGCATTATTTATAGATAGCACATTTTCTTTATCCTATCATCTGTTGATAGATATGCAGGCTGTTTCCAGGATTTTACTGTTTTAAATTATGCTGCTATAAACATTGGTAGCACGTATCACTATAGTATGACATCGTTAGCTCTTTGGAGAAGATACCTAGAAGGAGAATTATAGTCTTTTGAGGAATCTCCTTACTGATTTCCATAATGGTTGTACTAGTTTGCATTTCCACCAACAATGTAGGAGTGTTCCTTTTTCACTTCAGCCTCACCAGCATTTGTTATTTTTTTTACTTCTTCTTGATGGTAGCCATTCTTTCTGGAGCAAGATGGAATCAATTTGTGTACATCAATAATGAATTCAGTGAGAAGGAAATTATGAAAGCAATGCCATTCATGGCAATAATTTCTTGAGTATGACACCCAAAGCACAGACAACTAAAGAAATTAGATCACAAAATTTCAAAGTTCTATTGATTATCAGACATAATCAACAGGGCCAAAAGGTAATCCATAAATGGGAGAAAATATTTACAGATTGGATATCTGATAATGGGTTAATATTCAGAATATATAAATAATACAACTACTGAACAGCAAAAATGAACAACTATATTTAAAAATGGCAAAGGACTTGAATGGGATTTATTCAAACAAAGATACACAAGCAGGCACAAAGCACATGAAAACATGCTTAGCATCAAATAGTAGGGAAATGTAACCAAAACCACAATGAGAGATACTATCTCATGTGCATTAAGATTGCTACTGTCAGGAAATAACATGGGTTTGTAAGAATGTAGAGAAACCGAACACTTGTATTTTATGCAGGAATGCAAAATGTTGCTGCTGCTATGGAAAACAGCATATATATTCCTCAAAAATTTAAAAATAAATCTAGCATATGATCCAGCAAATTCACTTCTGGGTGTACATCCCAGATAATTGGAACCAAGGTCTCAGAGAGATGTGAACACCCACGTTCATGGCAGCACTACTGACAGCAGCTGAAAGGAGTACACAACTCAAGTATCCATCAGTGGATCAATGGCTAAAAAAATGTATAAAAATGTATAAAAAGAAAGTTGTCCAGCTTTACAATGGAGGGAAACTCTGGTACCTGCTATGACATGGGTGAACATTGAGGACATTATGCTAACTAAAACAAGTCATCACAAAGAGACAAATTTGCATGGTCCCATGCTTTGAAGAATCTAGGGATGCCAAATTTATAGAAACGTAAAGTGTAACGGTGGTTGCCAGGGATAGGGAACAGGGTGTTGTGGTTTAATACAGTGGTTCCCAATCTTTTTAGTGCCAGGATCCAGTTTTGTGGATGATAGTTTTTCCACAGACGGAGGAAGGTAGGAGGGTGGTTTCAGGATGATTCGAGCACATTATATTTATTGTACACTCTCTATCATTACTGCATTGTAATACATAAGGAAATAATCATATAACTCACCGTGATGCAGAATCAGTGGTAGCCCTGAGCTTGTGTTTCTGTAACTAGATGGTTTCATTGTGGGGTGATGGGAGACAGTGACACCCAAAGTGCATTATGTCCAGGCAACTCTGTGATCTTCTGTTGGCCTCCCTCCAGATGCAGCTTAATTGCCCATTGCCAATCACTGATAGGGTTTTGATCTGAGTCTGCAAGTAATTAATTGATGAAGGTCTATGTTCAGTCAGACCTCTCTGCTGACATTAATCTGTATTTGCAGCTGCTCCCCAGCACTAGCATCTCTACCTCAGCTCCACCTCAGAGCATCATGATTAGATTAGATTAGATTAGATTAGAACAGCATGTGCTCTTCACAATAGGGTTCAGGTCTTATGAGAATCTAATGCTGCACTGATCTGGCAGGAGGTGGAGCTCAGGCAGAAATGAGAAGAAGCTGCAAATACAGAAGAAGCTTTGCTCACTCACCCTCCACTCACCTCCTGCTGCATAGCCTGGTTGGAAACAGGCCACAGACCATTCCACAGTGGGGGATTGGAGACCCCTGGTTTAATGAGTACAGTTTCGTTTTTGGAAATGAAAAGTGTTCTGAAGATTGTATAACAGTGTGACTATATTTAACACTGCTGAACTGTACACTTAGACTGGTTAAGATGATTAATGTTATATTTTATATATATATATATATTCCTATAATTAAAAGGATTTTAAAATGTCAGGATACAACAGCTGGCATAAGCAATGATAATCATAAAAGAGGACTTCCAGAACTGCTTCAGAAAGTGGCAAAGAAGACGGAGGAGCTTGAAGTGTGTGTTGGGGGTAGGTATTTTGAGGGGGATAAATGGTAATACATCTTTTACTTTAATATATTTTTAAAATTTAAATATTCACTGTACTTTTACCACACCTCATATTTACCTACTCAGCCCCAAAAAGCATTGAACTCGGGTTCTCAACCCCACCTAGCTCTCCTACTAACTCGGGCAGTCAGCAATAATAATAGTTACCGTTTATAGTGTGTGCATGCCAAGTGTGGATACCATTTTAAATGTGTTATCTCAGTTTGTGCTTACAACAGGAAGTAGAGTTCTTGTCACTTTTATAGATCAGGAAACTGGAGCAAAGGAAGTTAAGTAAGCTGCTCAAGGCCTCACAGCTAATCAGTGAGTGGCAAAGCCAGGATTCAAACTCACAATCTGACTCCAGAGCTGACTTGGAACACTTACGCCATCTACAGAGTGACTATGAGCTTTAACGGCAATGTCAGCCCCCCTTAAAGCCAGCAGCTTCCCCATCCCTGCCTTGAAGGAAGTCATGTTCAACTACAAGCACAACAATTCAATTTTTAACCTTGTATCCTTCCCAATAACTAAAACATCTTAGGAAGTGATCTTTCCCTTTATTGTTCTTTCTCCACACTTTTTTTTTTCTCCAAATTTAACCATCTGAGACACCTGGAGCATAGCAGAGTGCCAGGTCTGAAGTTGTACACACCTGGACGGAGCCCCAAATCCACTACTTACTGGCCAGGTCCTTGTTTTCTCTAAGCTTCAGTGTCACCAACTCTAAAATAAGGACAATGGGGCCTTTCTCACCAGGTGAGTGGAGATATTAGGTTGGATGCTATCTTCAGTGCCTAACAGTATTTCATGTATAATAGGGGCTGGCTAATAATTGTTAGGATAATAAAAGTTATCATTACCTAAGTGGTTGAATATTTCTGGACCACATGAACCTCTGTCAGGGGGAAAAATAATTTTTGCAATGGTTTGGAAACTGAAATTAGAAAATGAGATCATCATGGAGATCAATTTCTACGAAGGAGAAGTAGGTTGTCTTTGAAGTCAGTGAATTCCGTGTACTCAAGCTACTCCAACTCTGACAGCTCTGAAAGTCTATGCATTTATTTCAAGGGTGCTCTGCTAGTCAGGTGCATGGCTATAATCTCAATGCTCTGGGAGACTGAGGCAGGAAGATCTCAAATTCAATCCCTGAGACTTAGTGAAACCCTCCCTCAAAATAAGAAAAGGGGTTGGGAATGTAGTTCAGTGCAAAGGTCCTAGGTTCAATCCCTAGTACCAGCCCCCAAAAGAAAAATCCCCATGGTCTGATTCTTCCTATTCTTTGAGCTGGTAGAGGTTTTGATGCCATTTTTCCACATGAACCAGGGGACCTATTCATCTGTAGGTGCTGGTGACAGGTGACCTGATTGTTCTGCAACTGCGACCCAAGACATGCAAGATGCCAAAGCTTTCCATGGCATTGATACTCCAGTGTCCGCAGTCTATTTCCTCTCTTTCTTTGTGTTCAGTCCGCCCAGAAGGGGACACACGGTTTCGTTCACTACGCCAACACTGACCAAGTCTGTTCTAAAACACTGGGGGCCTCACAAGAGAAGCAATAACTGGCTCAAGGTGAGGGCGCATACTGGGGCCTTCTGAGGGGAAGAGATGGGTCCCAGGGGACGCAAGCTTGCTAACCAAGATAGCTGAAATTCTGCTTCGAGGCTGCCTTATCACTTGTCCCTGTTCACTCCTTGTCTGAGCAAGTCTTGCTCATCTTTCAAGCTTTGTTTTGTCTGCTTTTTGTGGCACTGGGGATTGAACTTAGGGCTTTCACACTGAGCTACATCCCCAGCCCTTTTTTAATTGTTTTACTTTGACTCAGGGTCTCGCTGAGCTGCTAAGTTGCCCAGGCTGGGTTTGAACTTGCAGTCCTCCTACTGAGTCTCCTAGGTGCTGGTATTATAGACAGCTGAGTTATGTAGAAATGAAGGTGCAGTCAGAGGAAGTCAGAACAAAAGATAAGACCCACAGTGATTGTGACTGGAGGCAAATCTGAAGAAGAGTCAGGCCTCAAGACAGAGACGTAACAGCCAGGCCTGCGGGCCTCCCTGGAGATAAACTACAACTTAGATTATTCTGTGATGAGCACCACCTGGTCCAATGAGCCCAGAGAGGCATCAGACACATAGGTGGGCAACCAGAACATCTGGACCCATCCCTTCCCAAGAAAGCCTTTGTCCCCTCCATACACGCTCAGTACGTGACTTGTTTCCCTATTGGATCAATACTAGCTAAGCGCTATACTCGTAAACAAAGAACCTCATGGCCACCCACTTGGGGCCCCTCCGGGAAATCCAGGCGCTGTTCTTTTTCTCTATTTCCAACAAAGCTCTCCTAACTTCTCCTTTGGTCCTCAACTTCATTCCTCGATGTTGTGGGACCACCAGCTCAGCACATCTGACATCTGGCAGGCTGGAAGTCCTGGGATCACAGGCCTGCACCACCACGCTAGGCTCCCCCTGCAGGTTTTATCTGAAAGCTCTGAGCGCCTCCTTTCAGGGCTCTGCAATTAGCCAGAGAGCAAACGCTGTGGCAGACCCCACACGGCCAGCAGCTGGAGGCCTCAACTAACTGCACTTCTCAGGGCAGTTTCTCTCTCACAGCGAGAGAGGAGCAGGGCTTCATGCAGAATGCTGTGAGTGTTCGTTTTTCCTCTTTCTGTGAATCTCGCCTCCTGAATGATTTCCAGGCACAGAGACACTGGGTTAAAGGAACAATGGAGACAGAGTTGTGGCTCTCGCACAGACAGCCAGCTCGCCCTGCACAGGAACCTGGCTCAGGAAGCAGTGCGCTGGTCTTCCCGGTCCTTCCTGGTCCTTCCTGTCCTCTGATTGGACCCAGATGTGGAGCAGTTGACTGCCTGACCAATCCGAGCGTGAGCTGGCCAAGCAGGAGGGCAGGGACGGAGTGACGCCGCCACTCACAAATGCAGGTGCCGAGCCAGACAGCAGGTGCGTGACCAAGGAAGAGGAGACCCACCCTGTGTATGTCATGCTAATTGTGACACTTTCCGGGTCACAGTGCAGCCAGCAATACTGTCCCTCTGTGCCCTTTGTATTCCTGGAGGAAGGAGCTTCTCAGGCTGGCGACTTCTGCGGCTGTCCTGCCCTCTGCTGGCCAGCGAGGCTGACGCACCGCGGAGCTCCACACGTCCAGGATGACGCCAACTGCTTACCACTAGGGAAGACTTAACTTCTCAAGACTATTACATTTTAAAACAGGTAGAAAACCTGGTGGTGCCCACCTGTAATTCCAGCACTGCGGAGGCTGAGGCAGGAGGATTACGAGTTAGAGGCCAGCCTGTACTACAGAGCAAGACCTTGTTTCAACAAAACAAAACAAACAATAACAACAAAGGTAGCAAGTGTGGTCAACTTAGGTTAAATGGCTTCCTCCACACTTTTCCTTGAGGTCAGACTTCCGTATTTCCTTACCAGTTATTCCTGTCTCTGCTATAAGCCATAATCTGGTTACCTGAAAGACTGAAAGCCACCATCCCCCCTCTGGCTGGGAGTTTCATCTCTTCAGGCAGCACATTTAGTCTTCTGAACATAGCTGTGCATCACAAATTCTGATCCTAATGAAGAAGAATTTCTAAGTTGCCAGTCTCACCAGGAAAGGTCCATCGGCCATAAAACATGTTGAGTTCATGGGGTACTCTTTACGGGGAGACCGGGAAATGACAAGTTTCCTTTCAGGAGGTTGGCATCTTCGGTTTGACTTCAGCAGGAAACTAAGCAATTCTGTTCCAGTGGCAAAGTGGGGAGGTAGTGGAATAAGCTTCCTAAATGAGTGGCTTGAGGTTGGCTTTGCAAGCGGGCATGTGCTTACTGCTGTATGACAATCCAAGGCAAACTTGGGTGGCTGTGGACTGGGCATTTGACTCAGCAATAAAACATGTAATTAGCACGTGCAAGGAGTTTGTTCAATCCCCAGTGTCCCCAAAACAGACAAGCAAAATGTAATGGCCTAAACGACAGCCCTTTGTCCATCACTATTCTGTGGTTTGACTGGACTCAACTGGACACTAGCTCTGTTCCACGGTGCCCCGGCCAGGGCTCAGCTGGGTCCAAAATGGCTCACTTACATATCAAACACACGAAGGCTGAAATGAGCCAGGATGATGGCAGGGCCAGGTTCCGTCTCTGCCTCTGTGGCCCAGTAGCTGGATGGCCCATATTCCCAGCAGTGTAGGCTTCCGGGCCTTATCAGATGGAGACATGGCTTCATGTCTGCCATATTGAATTGGATAAACTGAGTCCCAGGACCAGTGCAGATTCACTGTGGGTCAAGACTTCAAGGGGGAATGATCTGCTGCAGGGTTGACAGGGAAATGTCTTTGGGGACCAGTCATGTAAGATCACACATGTAAGAAAAGGATTCTGAGATGTAGAAGACTGAGCCAAGCATAAAGCATGAATAAAAGCGCAGAGCTGACAAGATACAGGAGAACAGGATAATTTAAAGAGTAGAAGTTGTTCCCCCCCAAACCAAAAAACAGAGTAGATGAACAACTAGTTTGAAAGTGAGGCATCACACATTGAGGCGATACTCTTAAATGAAATAAATAGGACACACATGTAAATACTGAATAGTTTCTCTAGTGTGAGAAACTGAAAGTGTAAATAAGGACTAAAAGGTATAATAGATAATGTGAAATAGGAAGAAAAGGGGCAAAGGGGAAGGGGAAGTGGGAGGGGTAGGGGAAAGGAAAGAAGGGAATGGAATTAATATGAGAAAATGAAAAAAAGGAAACAAAGCCTTTGTAAATAGGGAGGCATGGAGGGGTTGAAGGGAGGGCAGGGGAAGGGGGAAAAATAAGAAGCAAGAGAGGTTATGTAAAGGTGCCAATTTCCAATGATGAATGTCATGATATTGTATACCTAAAATGTACCAATAAAAGGATATACAAAAAATAAATAAAAATAAAAATAAAAAGTGATAATATTTTTTAAAAAGAGAGAGAGAAAGAAAGAAAGAAAGTGAGGCATCAGCAGGCCCCTGGGAACTTTGAATGCTTGGCTCAGGAATGAGGGCTTAGTTTTGTCCAGTGGTTCTCAAAGCTAACTGTGCCTGGGATTTTCTAGGGACCAACTCAGCAGAGACTTGGCAATGTCTCGGAGGTGGGGCTAGGATTTATGGAGTTGGAAGTTTGGTTTAAGGCAGTTCCTTCAGTGGAAAGAAGGCAGGTTTTGAGGTGGAGTAAAGATCACAGCACAGCTCTCTAAGGCTGGTGGAAAAATTAAGGGAAGGCAATGGACTCACATAACCTTAGGGCAGTCCTTATCTTTAATCGGTTGATGGCTATTTTGGAAATTTTCTATAATGAATATTCAAGCCCTTTGTTTGGGCAATAATAATAAATTTATGCTTGACAAAATGTCATAAATATGCCTAGATATCCTAAATTTAATTACAAAGGGCAGGGGGTGGGGAGAGATAAAGGAATTAATTAGCTGCTACGGGAGAAAACCAACAAGTTGATTCTACATTTTTTAATGTATCTTCAAACCTTGCTTCAAACCCCCAGCAACCGACCACTACACCCAGTTATGATGAACTCCCTGGATTACTAACCCCCCACTTAATACAGAGCAACAAGTACTTCTCCTTATGGATGTGAGGCAGTAGATTAGGATGTGGTAAAGCAGCTGGACAAGCCAGTGTAACCTGTCAATCACGGAGGTCCAGGACAGGGGCGGAGCCCTGCACCTGCACCAATCAGAGAGTGCTGTCTTCAGTTCTTCTCACAGGAAGTTCAGGAGTTTTTTGATAGGCCAGCCTAGATGGGACATCAGCCTGAGGAGCAGAGAATACAAAAGACGCTGCCACTAAGCTCTTGGTCATTGTGCTCTTTCTTTCCCAGTGATCCACTCTCATCTTGTGGATTGCACTTCTTTTCCTACATTTAGTTTTTGTTTGTTTTATTTGTTTATTTGGTTGTTTGAGACAGGGTCTCACCATGTGGCCCAGGCTGACCTTGAACTTGCAATGATTCTCCTGCCTCAGCCTCCCGAGTGCTGAGATGACAGGCATGTGACATCACATCTGGTGTCTTTTCCTGCCTTTAATTGGCCCACACTCACTCTACAGAGCATGTTTCTTTTTCCTACCTTTAATAAATGTAAAACCTCACTTCCTTTTGTGCTTGTTTTGTCCAATTCATTGTTCAGGGCAAGAAGAACCCAGAAAGAATCTCTAGTAGGAATCCCCAGGACCCCAGAACCTGGTATCAGATGCTCACCCTATTCCAAAGTTTCCTCTATTTTGCCTTGTCCCACTCCTCTTATCTGTACCCAATGTAGGTTTAGTGTAAACAATTTATACTTCATTCCCCCAAGTTTCTGATGTAAAAATGCAAATGTAAATACAAAATATAAAGAGGAATAAATTGACCTGCACTTACTTTTGAAATCCTTCGTGGCTGTGTGAGAGAGACAAGGGAGAGGAGGTGTGAGACTGAACAACAGTTACTGCATTTTGTACTCCATTTTGTAATAGGGCCCCAACTTGTCTGCTTCTGTTACGGATCACCAGGTAGACATCGAGTTCCAGGGATGTGCTTGTTGTTGTGCCAGGAAGTTCTGTTGTGAGCATAGTGTTCCGTCATGCTTGCCCAACTCCATATCTGAATATATTATTTTAAGAACAATCTGTAAAGTTCCTTCTGCGTTTCTCTTCTGTATTTCTGCTTGCCAACTTCCCCTTAGCATCTCCTATAAAAGGACCTCAGGCTCTGAGCCTCTCGCCTCTCTAAGCTTGGTGCTTGGGGGTGCCGTCTGGCCAGACTAATAAAGGTCTGTTTTAAGTTCACAACTTGTCTGGTGTGTTCCCTCCTGGGTGATCCTCGCTGTAGCCAGCTCCTCAGGAGCAGTTGGTGAGACACACGGTCTTACAGAGGGTCATTGTGCAGATTGACTTTCACAGTCACTAGTGGAATTATTAGCCCAATGGAATCTGCTTCTTTTTGTATAACTTTACGAAGGAGCATATCCAATGACACTTGCTTTTGCCTCTTTTTGAGGATTTTGTGGCAGTGTGACACTGCATTGTCATTAAACAGACTCCTCACTCACACTGCTACAGCCTTATTCAGGCGGTGCTATTCTACAAGATTTCGCAGTTTCCCACATTTTACACATCTCCCTAATCTCATTTGAAGTGAGGGATTCCTCCACCTTTTCCTTCTCCTCCTCTGTGGATGAGATCTCCCCCATAACCTCCTGCTGTTGGGAGATGATCTCCCCCAATTCCTCAACAAGAGAGAACCATTGGCTCAGCTGTGATCATGTGACATTTGGCTTCCTGTACTACTTGTATTGCAAGACATGGCTTGTTTACCAAGTTAAAATTTATTAGAAACGTTTGCTCATCTTGTGGAACACTCACAGCACAAATTAATTGCAATCCAGGGTTTTACTGTACTTAGAACGGAGTGCAGCCCAAAAGAGAGAGGCACATCGTGGGCTTGAGCTTGGTGTATTTATGTGGCTCTGGGGCTGTCTTGAGAATAGCGGCTAGGATATGTATTCCTGTCTGTCAGGTCACCCGGCTGGTGGGCTGTGTCAGAATGCAAACCATTTCCATGTGTCTGAGGCTGAGATCTGCTGCCCACTGATATTGCTGCTTTCTTGAGGATGAACATTTTATAGGTGAAAGTCATGAGCCAAGGCTTATTTTATCTTTAAGAACTTTAGGAAAAAATTGTAGTGAGTTTCCTGGGAGGGACAAACCCTTAAGTGACTTGTGTCCTGATGCTGCAACCTTCCTTAAAGGCACAATTTTAAAATTATGATTTTCCTTGTCTCTTTCTACCTATCTTTACTTTTTTTCTATCCTGCCTCACAGAGACTCAGTCGTTTTCTGACCAGCATCTGTAATGGCTCCGTGAACTCTCTCATGCCGGAGGCCCTTCAGTCTCATGCGTTCTGGCTGAAGTGAAGATGGAGACGTGGAGTAGGAATGTCACGTGACACAAGCTGCATGGGGTACATGTAGTTGGGTTCTCAGAACTCATCCTGTAAAGTTCTGAATCAATGAAAACCAAGAAACTCTTATTTTTAACAGGCTTAGTTGGGAATCAGGGCCATAAGCAATGAGCAGATTTTTGTTGTGGGGTTCAGGATCCCCAGCATCCTTCAGGACACAGGCTAAGTCAGCAATGTTGTTCAGGGCTCCTCTCCATCTGCTTCCCCTCCTTCCACCCAAGCTCGCCTCACTTTGAGGGTTCGGGCTCTTCTCGAAGTTAAGGTAGAGGGAGTATTTGTGTCCATTATCAGGTGAAGTAGACCCGTGAGAAATTCCTAAGAAAAAGTACCATTAAAAAGGTAGAAACAGGGGGCAAGGATTTAGCTCAGTGGTGCCGCCACCTGCCTCGAAAGTGCAAGGTCCTGAGTTCGATCCCTGCTACCAAAAAAAAAAAAAAGGTAGAAAGGTCACAGAAAGCAGAGATTCCCAATGAATCCCTTTATAAGGAGGAGGAGGGTCCCAGTATTTTTTAAGGATATTTCTTTATTTTTAATTGATGTGTAGTAATTGTATATATTTCTGGGGTACAGTGTGAGGTTCCAGTTCATGTTCACAATGTGTAAGGGTCAGATCAGATGAAGCATCTTTTTGTGTTGGGGACTTGACACTCCCTTCTACCAGTTATTTGGAAATATTGAATTGGTTGAGGTTGGCTATAAAGTTACTTTAAGTCTACATGACGTGGGGTCAGGTGATCTTTTCCTTGTGTGGTGGAGGACCGGGGGGTCACACAGAGGGAACAGGAGTTGTTTAGAAGTTAACCCAGAGTCTCCCCTGGATTGAATTGAAGATGAGAAAGATGCCAAGACCCTGGCTTAGACTCAAAATCCTTGACACTGAGCTACTAGCTTGCCAGACACTAAAAGCCCTTCAAATGCCTCGGCCCGCCCTGACTTGCTTCACTCCTGGTTAATTTACTCCCTGTCTCTTTTCTCCACTTCACATTCAGAGATATCTACAAGAACAGAAGGTAAAAAGATCAAGTCTTGTCCGTGGTTATGAGCCAGTGAGCGCAAGACTATATCTCAGACCAGTTCTACTGAGCGCCCCTAAACGCCTCCTTTCTGGTTTTTCCTTTTCCATCATGACCTCTTCCCTTTTTAAGGGGTTCCAAGTTTTTAAAATATACAGACACATAATACTACAGTTCATAACACTGTGGTTCTTTCTGCCTATGATACTCACACTTGGGAGGCTGAGGCGGGAGGATTGCAAGTTTGAGTCTTGCCTGGGCAACTTAATGAGACCCTGCTTCAACATAAAAAAAACTGTAAAGGGGAGGAGGGCTGAGCATGTAGCGTGAAAGCCCTGGATTTAATCCCTAGTACCAAAAATAAGGAAAAAGTGCTTCTACGAAGGAAGTTTCTTTCTTCATTCGTGGAATTATTTAAGGCCACTCTTCATTCCCATCCATTCCTTCCTTCATTCACAGACCTCTTCCACCAGCTTGTGCCCTGAGACCCCTGTGGAGTGTGACTGAGATCCCCACCTGCAGGGCCAATATCTGCCCAGAACCCCAGGAAGGCTATCTGGAGCCTCTGCTGGCTCTGATCGGGGTGTGGCGTATTCCAACTCTTTCTCCTGTCTGTCTGTCTGTCTGCCTGCCTGCCAGGGTAACCATGTGCATCTGTGTCCCCTGGGGTGCACATAGGCCAAGAGAGTAAGGCAGGCTGCACAGATGGACACCAGTATACGGAGCGCACCCACCTCTCCCCCAGTCACCTCTGGGGGGCACAGCTGGGTGGGGGTCCTTGTCACTGTGTGTGACCTCTTCACTCTTAATTTTATATAACAAGTATCTGTGGTCATTTTTCCAAGTTAGTAGCTAAACGGTCATGTTTATCCCTTTCTTACAGGAAGTCATACTTCTTCGAGGTCACAGGGCCTCGAGTCTGATTTTGAAGGCTACGAATTCCTCATGCTGTGGCCCCAGAACAATGAGGGGATGTACACGGGTCCCAGCTGACCCGCCCAGCCTCACCCTCCGCAAATGCTGCCCAGGGCTGGTAACAAAGGGCCCTCACAGTTTTCCCTGCCCTCCGCCTACTGGCATCTGATCCCAGTCAGCAAATGTTTAGCTACTGTTCAGTCAAAACATGTTTATTTTCTCTTGGATCCACAGCTAAGAATTGTCCACCAACCTGCTGTAGGCCCCGGGAAGAGGCTGTCACCGAATATGAGTTCCAGGCTCCTTTCAATGTTTAATGCCATGGCTCCTAGGTCACTAAGTGAGGGGCTTGGGGAGCGTGAGGGGAAGCAGCTGACCAGCTCGCTGCCTAGGAAGGGACCCCAGCAGGGAGGGAGACAAGCGTGACTGTGTTCCCAGGTAACAGCTTTCCCTCTAGCAAGTAACCCACCTCCAGGTTCCTTGGGGTAAATCCATCAGACCTTTAAATAAAAGCACAAACAGCTTTATTTTCGATGAAAATAGAGGTTAGAAGAACCCATTGGCTTGAGAGAGCACAAGGCTTGGGTGCCAATCCAAACGTGGAGCAACTCATGGAGCCCACTGCACAGGAAGGACACAGGGCTCCCTCCGGGCCTCTCATACCCGACAGTGCCAGCCCGGAGGTTTGTGTGACTGTGCTGCTGCATGCACAGGGCAGGGGACTCAGGGAAGACAGCCTCGGAGCAGGAGGGCTCGGCTGCTGAAACGGAGGGCGGAGCTTCTAGTCCAGACCTCCAGATGTCTGGGACAGTGCCTCTCACTGGACAGCACCCTCTCCCCCTGCCACCCAGTCTACCCGGAGCAGCCCCATAGCCTTCTTCTACTGCAAATGCCCGAGGAGGGGTAGACCTCAGCACCCTGCTCCTGGCCAGGAAGGAGAGACAGCAAGTGCAGTCAGCGGAGGGACTGTGCTTGGAGGCATCAGAGCACCTCAGGTGGAATGCTGGCGCTGAGGCGTGTGTGCTAACTGTGTCTTTGGGCCCCTTGCCTGACTTTTCTGGCTTCTGGTTACTGAGTGTCCAAAACGAAAATGCTAAGAGGGTAAAATGGTATCATTAAGCGCAAAGCCCAGGCTCCTTCGGAGCAGTTGCTAATGTCAAGGAGAGAGCTCCAGGCCTGGGGTGCCCGGAGCTGCCCTGCCCAGCCCGGCACTAGGGCTCTGCCTGGGTAGAAGCACCCCAGGCTTTACCTAGAGCTCCCCCAGCCCCACTGTGGAGATCAACCCAGAGTGAGGGTCCCGCGCTCCACCTCAGGCTGGCCCATGGAGAGGGAGGGCCCCCACTTCGCAGACCGGGAAGGAAGTTTCTTCCTGGATGTGCCCTGGGCCAGCTCACTGTCAGCTTTAGCCCAACGTTTGCAAATTGCAGAAGCAGGACTCTTCCTGCAGCCTGCAGCCAGGATCGAGTGAGAGACCAAAAATATTAGGTTCTCAGTAAACACAAGAGCTGAGCTCTGAGGGCCTCAGGCTGTGGGCCTCCCAGCACCCCTCCCCGCACAACCCAAAGCCCGAGTCTGTCTGGGTTTCGATGCCACTCGTTCCTGATGCTGTCCTCGTACATCTCCCCTGTGGAGAGGAGTCAGGCGGGCACTGCTCACCGATGAGGCCCGTATCGCTGATCACCACCCGAGTCTGGGTGTATTTCTGTCACAAGCCACGGGGGAGCTGATGGGCAGCTGCTCAGGTGAATTCTCCCCAGCTATGGGCATGTACCTGGGTCCTATGTGGCTTTTTTTGTTGTTTTGGTTTTGATTTTGTACTGGGGACCAAACCTTTGCACTGAGCTACATCCCTAGCCCTTTTCAAAATTTATTTATTTATTTATTTATTTATTTATTTATTTATTTATTTATTTTTGGTACTGTGGATCGAACTCAGTTCCTTGCGCCTGCAAGGCAGGCAGCAGAACCACCAAGCCAAATCCCCAGCCCTCATTTTTTTTATTTTGAGGCAAGGTCTTGCTAAGTTCCCCAAGCTGGGTTCCAACTTGAGCTCTTCTGCCTCAGACTCCCAAAGTGCTGGGATTACAGGTGTGTGCACCACACATGGCCCCTGCTCTTGACCGGGTGTGGCAAGGTAGGGTGTCTAGGCTGCCAGGCTTGAAAAGCTGCAAGCAGGCACTGAACTTGTAGGTGCCTGGCTGCCCCAGGACAGCCTGCACACCATGGAGCTGGGGCCAGGGCTGGGGCTGCTGCTAAGGGAAGCACCTCTCGGTGCAAGATGGTGAGTCCCTTGCTGCAGGCCACATACCCAGGTGTCACTCGGGGAAGCATCACAGATGCCTGTGCACAGCCCACTGAGCAGGCTGCACCAGCACACAGTGCACCTGGAAGTTTCTGCTGACCGCAGAGAGTACAGGGCGCGGTCCAGAGGGCCAGGGAGTCACAGCCAGGACGCGTGTCCTGTGCAGGCCCAAGAGCCCCTGCTAACACTCAGGGTCACGGGGGTGGTCCCTGCAGAGACACTGTGCTCAGCTGTGGAGCAGACGCACCATGGGCAGGGCCAGTAACTGAGGCAGGGTAGGAGAACCAGGCAAGGTGGGAGCAGCTCAAGGCAGCTGCCTGGGCCAGGTCCTCCCACATGGCCACCGTCAGGAAGCAGCCCCAGGATCACCAGCAGCATGACTCTGGTCAGCTGTGGCCAGGGCTGGCAGAGCACACTGGCCACCTGCCTCGACTCCCCAGGATGCTGCGCTGCACCAGCAAGGCCTGGAGCTGCCCATCCGGGTGCTCATCCAGAAGTTTCCCTCTTGGGCTTTCTTCAGTGCCAGGTGCACAAGCCCTAGGGTCATTTCCAGAGGAGTCAGCGCCTGGGGCTCCTGAAGGAAATACTCCACCAGACAGACCACTGTGGGGTGTCCAGCACCATACGGCCACAGCAAGCCTTCCTCAGTAGCAGCCCTCAGTCTGAGGCCTCCGCTGCATGCTTTTCTCCCTGCCCAGCGTCCCTCACCTGGGCTCCCACAGGCCATGCGTCCTGGTGGGCTCCAGTTTCCAGGAGCCTCTCCCAGGCTGTGGGCTGTCACCCTGCTGCAAGCTGACAGCGACAGCTCCTCCTCGCTGGCCAGGCTCTGAAGCCAGGCTGGCTCGGGACCCAGCAGTGAGGCCAGGGCTGGCACTGCATGGCTCCCTAGTGGCAGTGGGGTGCTTCTCCAGCTTTAGGTAAGAAGGGGAGCTGCAAGAGGCTGCAGGGACACCCCAACAGAGGATGGGGGAGCCGCAGAGTTGCAGAAATGGTCACCAAGCCCAGCTACATCCAAGACAATGGCCAGAATTCTATCCAAACCTTAAACATAAGCAAGTGTTCCTGCTGCCTCATTACTGTCCGAAAGCCTGAGCATATTCCGCCATTTCTGCACCTAAAGAAAGATATGTACACATGGAATCAGTACCTACAGGTCTTCAAACCCTCCTCCAAATCCACAAACAGAGCTCAGACCCTTAACGATCTCCAGCTCACCCCCTCTTGGCCAGGAGCCTCCACTTCCCCATGGAGTGGGTTCCTGTGTCGGGCTGCTGTCCTGGTTGCAAAGGAGCCAATGAGCCCAGCTCTGCTCAGACACAGGTGTGTTGCTGGTGGTCTTCAGCATGGGAGGGGGATCAACAGAGAAGATAGGACTGGCACTGGCTCTGAGACAGTTGCTACAACTCCGAACTTGGAAACTTTTTTTGTAATTAGGATAAGGTTCATGGCATCAATGTTCCCCCATAATCACTGCCTTCTACCCAGGGATGGACCCAAAAGTTCTCTCTTGTGCTTGGTCCATATCAGAGTAGTTTTTAAAACAAACCCTAATCTAACTGTAAACCGTAAGATAAATTGGGTTGTGATCAGCATCCTTAAAAATTGCTTTAGAAAATATAATGCATTGCAGGAAATCAAACCTAAGGCTTTCATTCCAATTATATATTACTTTGTCCATGCAGTATTGCCCAATATCTAGTCATTATTGATCCACCAAAAGTGGCAGCATTTTATAGTTTAAATATATGTGTATCAGTATTTTCTTCTCTCCCTCCTGCCAGTTAAAACATCTGAAAGCCCATGTTTGCAGTACATGCTCCGTGCCATGTGAAAGTGTTCCCAGCACATGCTCCATGCTGCCGTACCTCTGGAAGGCTTGGTTCTGGTTCCCAACCCCTCCTCTACCTCATCCCACCCCACACTCACAGAAGTGCTTCTCTTGGAGGCTCCGTTTCACTCAGCCGGCCGGTGAGTTGCCATCTCTAATCCCGGGCAGGAACCTTAGGGGAGGTGGCTCAGCGGGAAGTGCTGGAACCTTTAAGGGGTGGATCCTAGCAGGCACCTTAGGTCAATGGGGTGTGGCCGTTGAAGAGGATTGTGGGACCTGTCCTCCTCCTCATGCCCTCTTTTGCTTGCCAACTGTGTTGTACTGACCCTTTTTTTCTGCCACATACTTCTGCCGTGTTCTTTCTGCCTTGCCCAAAGCTACCAGGCCAATCATTGATGGATTGAGCCAAAAATAACCCTTTTTCTCTTTATAAGTTGATTATTGCAGACATTCGTTGTGGTAACAGAAAGCTGAGGAACCCTATGGGGATAGTTGTAAGACTGCTGACATAAAGTTATCGCAATGATGAAACAGGATACTGCAGGGAAGTCCCCTTCACAGTGCCTGGTCTATCCCCTTGGGCTGTGATCATTCTGGTGATGCTATGGTTTTTATCTGGATGTCCCCCAAAGCCTCGTGTGCTTGCAGGTGGGGCTTTGGGGAGGTGACTGGATCATGGGGTGTGATGCTTACCAGGAGATGGGTCCACTGATGATTTTATAGCTAAATGTGGTCTTGGGAGGTAGAGCCAGGTGGAAGAGGTGGGGGATTGGGTCTCTCTCTCCCTCTTTCCCTCCTTCCCTCTCTCCCCCCCCTCCCTCCTTCTCTCTCTCTCTCTCTCCCCTCCCCCCCCCCCCCCCCCCCCCCCCCCCCCCCCCCCCCTCCCCCCCCCCCCCCCGTTTCCTGCCCGCCCTGCCATGGACTGTTTCTCCTCTGCCATACTACCCTGCCTTGGAGCCAGCAGACTATGGCCCGAAGCCTCTACAAACTCTGAGCCAAAATAAACTTGCCCTCCTTTAAGCTGTAGGTGGCCAGGTATTGTGTCTCAGTGATGAGAAAGTAACTAAGACAGGGGGTGATGTATGCAGCTGAGCAGCGCACTGTAGGTGCCTCAGTGAATGCAAAGGGTCTAATCATGGCTCACAGTCAATGAGGCAGATGCAACAAACTACAAATTGCTCCTTGTGAAGATGTGGCATCGCTTCAAACAAGACCTGGTGAGAAAATGAACAGGGGACACAAATATGAGAGAGGACTCGTAAGGCATCTTAGAAGGGAGGGGAAGAGATGTCCACTGGGCCTTAAAGAAAGATTGGAAAGAAAAGAGGGCTTTCCCAAAAAAGATACAGAGCTTGATCCAGGGCTGAATGGGGCAGCACCAGACTCCTGGCTGGCCTCACCCGGGTCCATGTTCAGATTTGTTGAGGATTCTTTCAACAGCAACTGAGTGCTCCTTCCTGATGGTGCCAGGTGGTTTCCTGGAATAGAACTTCCCACCCCCCAGCTCCAAAACCTGAGTTCCTGCATGAAGAGCAGTGAGATGGGGGCCTGGGATAAGAAGGAGGAGTGGGGAGACTGGATCGCTATATGAGTAGGATGCCCATGGAATTTATTATGCAAATTTAGACTGTGGCTGAGACTCCAAGGAGGCTCTGCTAATAGTTACACGGGTGAGGGTCACAAGCCAGAACCTGTGCTGGTCACCTCTTTCTGCGACTGCTTCCCACTGGGCACTGACCCACCTGTCGCCCTGATCTCCGGCTTCCTTCTGGGTCCCTGTCCCCATGAGACATGCCACGCTCCCCACACAGCAGCTCCGGCGATTCCTGGATGAGCCGTCGCACGGTGCAATCGATTCATCCATCACCATCAGGTCCGGATCCACCTTCGCCCAGAACAGGTTTCTCCCGGTGGCCCTGCACACTCGCACACTCTCAGGTCCCAGGCTACATCCACCCCTCAGGCCTCTGAATCTTCGGTGCATCTTAATATGCGCTTGGCAGGTCACAGTTGTTTGACTGACTAGACGGGAGATACACAGTGGGTGTTTCCCAACAAACTTTAGGCTCATTTCAGCTCCAGTTACTCCCAGCCAGACAGGCTCTGCACTTGGGTTTAGACGAGGATACCCTTTCGTTCCCGCTAGGGAGAACTGACCTGACCCTTGGTGACTTTTCCTTCCTTTTGCTCTTGTTTCCGACTCCTAAATGCTGACTTTACGAGGCTATCTGCAGATTGAAACCTTAGCTCCTGAGCATCATGTTAAAGGCCCTTCGGGGCTGAGACCCCGTCTTTCCAACCAGCTTAATTTAAAGTGCTTCATTCCCCACCCCTTTCCACATTCTTCCTGTTCTCCACATTCAGCTCAGCATATTTAAAAGCCAGACTCCTCAGGATCGATCCCCCTTTTCTGGTTCCCTGCCTAACATTCATGTCCTTCCAGTCCGAGGTGGGTGCTCTTCAGTTCCTACCTCTTCCTAACAAGCAGCATCCTTTCCTCTCCTTCGCCTGCCAAGTCCCCTCGTGTGCTCAGATCTGTCCTCTCTGCGCCCACTGTCAGCGTCTCAGCATCCGGATACAACCGTCAGCCCATAGCAGCCCGAGTGCTCGTTTTTAAAATACAGTGTCAACTCCGTTGTTACTTTGCTGCGAGAGCAGTTCCACAGTTTTCATCTAGCAGGAGCTGCTCTTTGTTCCGCAGAAGGTCCGTACCCTTCCTGTCCTAAT